CCAGCCAACCAGACCCAAACCACGTTTGCATGACATTAGAGGACAAACAACCTACGTTCTTTCTCCGACCATTTCACTTATAGGAACAATGCTCATTTCAGTGGCGAATATTGTCTACCGTCGGCGATGATTTCTGAAAAAAATGCTCGTTTCATGATTTCTTCAGCAAAAAGACATATTAATAGCAAATTAAAACCGTTCTAGTTTCCCAGAATCCAAAATTTTCCGCTTAAAGCTCTGTGGCCTAAACGGTGGTCAGAAATTACCTTCCAGCGACCTGTGAGGAATGATATCGAGTTTTGTTAACTGACCAAATAATCATGATACGGGACTGAAACGGCGAATGCGCAGTGTAAAGAAGAAAAAATCAACTTTTCACTTTACACCATCAGCTGATTGCGCCGCTTCCTTGCATCTAAGCACCTCTTCAATCCGGTATCATCTTTATTCGTACTGTGATGTATTCAGCGGCGGTTTCGATCTCTTCCCAGAACATCGGTGTTGCACTCTGTCACTTTCGCGAACTCTCTTGTGCATTTCATGTCGTGGCCGCCGTTACTGACACCGAGACGCGCACACAAATAAGATGTGCAAGTTTTGTCAAGGATCTGGGGCATTCGCGATGTCCACGCATCCAGATTCTGTTTTTATTCTAGCAATTATTGAAAGCTGGTTTATGGAGCAATGAGAATGTGCGATGATCAGAAATGTCAATCGGCGTTTGCAGTAGAGCAAATAACGCTGACTCGGCATTGACAAATGCTTGGTCCAATTATGACGATCAGTGAAATGTCGATCTCGTTGAAAAGTTGAGGTGATCCCGGAGGCCGACGGATTCCGATAATAAGGTACAATTATGGTTCAGATCACCGGTAGCACTCAGGAGATTTTCAGCTACCAAGAGACAGTAAGGCGCAGTACACAAGTATTAACAAATGAGGCCAGCTCCTCCGCTGGACAGTTGGGACTGACGTATGAGTTGCATCGAATAACTGACTTGTACCTCTGTAGAAGCGAGGCCGGCAGTTCAAGTATGGACACGAGTACCTCCAGCTAGCAAGAAGATGTTGGCAGAAGTCCAGTTCACTAAGGTGGCGACACCACCGCCTCATGATTTGACTTTCGAATGCCGGTCGCCACGAAATATGGCAAAGTTCAGAATGATGAACAAATTATCTTCCATATAGCTCTTTTATCCATATCTCTTGCACATGTTTCTAAACAGCATGACCTGACCGCACGTTGGCAGTGACCACAACCGGAAGTTGCAGGTCAGCAGGAGTGATGGGTCTGAGTTGAATGTACCAGAAAACCCCTGCTGGTGAACCTCGCGGATGCCTGCGCTTCCTTCCGGTACGACGTTTGAAGAATGGACCTTTCAAAACGTCCAAAGCGTGCAGCCTGAATAGGAACTCTTCAGACATGATAAGAATATTTGATTGGGGAACATAAAGGTCACTCGCAGAGTGTACAAATGTCGTTTCAAATAAAGATATATAGAAATAATTGGATGGAGAAGAAACAAATCACTTCTTGGAAATTTGCTTCGGGGAGAGTTTGACACCGCCGCGTACTGTAGGCCCGATAATCAAGTATTTAAGCATCTTCAACGCTAGATGCATCTCGCATTGTTCTGCCAGCTAGAGTTACCTCATGCTTATCGCGAACGAACTTACACGAGATGATGCTCCTCAGTTGTTGCTACCTCATACATGTTAACGTATGCTCACACGTTGGGTGTTATGTCACACGCGTCCGATAGGCCCTTGAAATCACGTGATATTCGAGTTGTGCAGTTTGTGACATACTTCGACGTGAGAACATGTTTCTATGTTCATGCGGTAGCACATATAGAGCCCAACTCTTGAAACAACGTCTATAATGAGAGAGGCGTTGGCACCAGCAAACAAAATGATGCGACTTACAGCGGTTGCACAAATGTTATGCAGCCTTGGTCGACGTAGATGGCCCTTAGGTATCTAGGAGCAAGAGGGGAAAGCAACACAGCGCGGAATCTGGCAGTAGACGAG